TTTTTTATGCAAACAATTCAAATAGATTCACATATGCGATAGTGTTAAGTGCCTATTTTGGGTTGGTGTGACATCATGCTTACAGATCTTTTGCCCTTTACTCCAAGTCCTTCGTATGGTTGATGCGGTTTTTTTTCTATGGGGAGATTAAAAAGGCAAGAGAAGATATCATTGAAGCTTTGGACGGTAACAAAAAAACTTACAAACCTATCACACATATTATATCATTATAGATGAAAGATAAACTAGATTCAAATCTACATTTGATGGCTTATCTTTTAAATCCTTATTATTATTACAAGAATCCACAACCGATGTAATGGATGTGGTTCTTGATTTATTGATAAATTACTTTTGGGAGATTGAGAGATCCAAAGACAAGTCGTAACTATTGAGTTGCCAAAGTAGAAGAAAAACTAGATACATTAGTTCCAAAATTTCATATTTGCCAATATAATAATATGTTTACGTTTTAAAATTTGTAGCAAACTAGTGGGAATTTTTGATGGCTCAACTCCTCACTTAACATAAGATTACAAGGATTCTTTCTTTAAATAGTTAGTAGTTTATCGGGTTGTGGAGAAAATGGAGCACATCTGAAGGAGTAGGTAGTTTAAAATTTTAATGTCCAAGTAACTTATTTAAAACAAAAATCATATATTGTATATTTTTAAACCCTTTGTTGCTTTTAACTTTATAGGTACATGAGAAAGAAAAGAAATAGACTAGAGGCAACTAAATTGAACAATCTTGTTTATATTCAATTCAATGCTAATTTAATGGGGGAAAGTAAGGAATATGGAAGTGTTATTAGCAAGTGATGCACGCTTGGCTCAAGAATTGATTGTTGATTGTGATGACCGTGATGTAGACGAAGTTTATCCCATATTGAAATGGTAAGCAATTGGTGAAGCTATAGAAGTCGATAATTATCCAACATCCCGATAAAGTTGTAGGATGAGGTAACTTTTTGAAGAAGATTCGAGTTCATGAGCGAGGATGAATCAGATTAAGTCATTAAGGTGAATATGGTGTAGAGAGAGTTCACACCATGGACCAATGCGAAGAAGACGATGAGCAATTTAATATTTGAAGACGACTTTTTATTTTGGAACTTATTAAACTTATAATGTACTTTATTAGTGATCGTATGATGATGGGTGACTTAAGTATTTAAACACTTTGAAGTTTGAACATATCTATTTGATGGTTATTTAGCTATTAGAATATTGGTCATATTTAACTTTTTTCCATATTAATTGCTTTATAATTTAGGGTCCACGACTAGTCCCTAGTCCCCAATACCCAAACCAACTAGCGCCTAGCGGCTTTTACAACCTTACGGAGTACTCACAAAGTAAGAAGCATCCCCCATAATGTATGGATACGTTCAATTGTATGCGCGAACCTTTAAATGAAGTTCACATCATACTCTTACACGGTAATCATTTCATTAAGGAGGTGGATGAAATATATTAGAATAGAAAATGTCACATACAAAAGCAACCTCTTGATGCATATGTATCATTGACACATAGATATTTAAGAGAGAGAGAGAGAGAGAGAGAGAGCTATGTACCCTCTTACAAGATCTTGCATATATTTCTTTCTCGTATTCATATCAATTTACAATATATTCGGTAAAAGATCATAGCAAAGAGCAATACCTTTAATACACAAGTATGTGTTGAACTAAATTCATTAACCATTAGACTAATGAACATATTTGCATATAATGCATTGAATTCGTTATTAAATCAAGTTTTCACTAACATAGTTGGTCATGAGCTTTCTTGTAATATGGAATGAGGGAAGCAAATAATGGTGTGGATGTGAGGTAGAAGGAGGACGAAAACCAAGCAAAGCACCCCATTGATCTACTAGTGGGATAACCGATAGTTTACCATACATGCATTAACCATTGGAGTATGTTCATACAACTTAGCGAACCAACGTTACTACCAACGTCAACTGAAACCTATTTGGTTGCGCATCTAGGGTAAGTAGTCAATGACAAGAGTTGTAAGGAACAAAGGCATAAAAGGTATCATGCTTGAATACGAGCCAAACCAGAGCAACCATGGACAACACCTGGCCCAATGGGAACCCTAATCCTTAATGCTACTTAAGCAACCCTTTAGCTCAATTTTTTGTGGACGAATTTGCATAGAGTGCAGAGGAACTTAGGGTTTCGTTAGTCATTGTTGTGAGGTTGATTATAGCATTGAACTAGCCTTAATCATTTAACTTAGTGGTAGACAAAAGCTACTTTGGTTCTTAAGCCATACAATCCTACATCAATTGTAGTGCACCTCAGTGTAAGAAACATACTGAACACTCTATGGGGGTTGTTTATTGCTTATATTTCCCCGTGAATGATCTCGTTGGAAGTCTATATGGTTTCGTTTTTCCGTTGCATTATCTCAACTATTATAGTCATTTAAATAATGAAGAAAGGTAAAGCAAAGGGCAACAACCCATGAATATACATGACCCTTGCGAGGAACAACTTTTATATATCAATAATGGATATTGCACCAGAAGAGTTGCATAGAGGTCGATAAGGAGTGAAGGACGGTTGAAAGACACATATATGACCTTAGTTCTTCCACCGTTGAGACATACTAAACACTTTCAAGTAAACAATAGAGTTAAGATCTCCAACCAATATTTTCCTTTTGTAAATCTTGGCAAAATTATTTCATGTTATATTTGGTCAAGAGGTCCGAATAGAAAACTGTAGGAAACACATTGGCAATCCAATCTATGCTCTTTCATATCACTTCATGAGACCTAGAATGCTCCACAACATCATAAAGAAGAAGAAGAAGAAGAAGAAGGCAGCCTTAGTTTGTTTATTCCATGTTTTGTGATGTATCCTCTTCACCTATACTTGCTTAGCTTCTTGGGCAACAAGCATACTTTTTTCTAGGGACTATATGTTATAGAATCCGGTACACGCATTAAGCTTTATTGAGTTCTTGTAAAACTCAATTGCACATCATTTTTATTATAATATAACCTAGTAAATTTGGTAAATGCAATCATATTGTTACATATCCCTATGGCCAAATCACACATGGAAAATTTCGATTTGACAAGCACAAAAGGAAATCAAGAAAGCTCCACTATGCATATAATTATCCACAAGAGATTGCTACTCATTTACAAATAGTATTAAATATCCATGAAAGTTTCACAGGTTAATCAATGCATATCTTAGGTTAACTTTGGGTCCCATCTAATTAAATTTTGGATTTCATCACCATTGAAATAAGGGTCAGGGAGACCTCAAGCCAATCAACAACATACCAAATTCTATATATAGTATGGCAGTTAAGGATATATCCAACAACTAGATAATGTATGCTCGCATTAAGAACAAGATATTTGGAGTTATATTATACTTCCATAACGTGCAGTCATACACTAATAGGAAATAAGCTTGTAGTTTAAATGCAAATCTTCCATGAGTAAAGAGAGAAAGAGAGATATATAGTCATACTTTGATGACAAACCTATGGAAGGAAGATTGTGCATTTTGAACTTTACAAGAATTAAAACTCATGTTAATTGTGATGAATCTTAAGAAAGTAAAGGTCTTACACTTGAGTAATCTGTCGGCTCTCATGGTTTCCTCTAAGAATTGTAAGTCTGTCTCTATAACGAACTTTAAGAGCCACTAAAAGTGAGACAGTCTCCACCGAATAATACCCACGATCTGCAGTAAGCATACATATTAGAATGAGATTAAACAAACTATTCAATTGTTCAAAATTGCAAGAAAGAAAGAAGCCAACTGGATGTGTTCATTAGCACAAGAGATTAGAGACCAATTAAATCCAAGACCACCTCCAAAAATAGAAATTTTATTTGGCAAAAGTTAGAAGTCTAATTAGCAATAATAATAGAAGATAACAGCTCAAAAAGGTCAAGAAGAGTTCCAATTCAGTTATGTCTTCTGAACCGAAGGTGTCAAGATGATAAAAGGGAGTTACAAACAGGAGATATGTCAATCTTTAAAGATATTTACACCATTTTTGTCATCACAAAGCTCACTTAGAGTTCCAGTTCAGTTATGTCTTCAATATTCTACAATATCTGCATAGATATCCAAATTCCCAATACAGACCACAAACTCGAATGGATAATAACAGTCACCATGAAATCTAGCCAGTCAATCAACCCAATTTTCGACACTAATAACAGCTCATTAGTAAAATTACAAAATCCCCAAATTTAAGAAACAGTAACACAGTAATGGAACAAGAGTTAACTCACCGACGTAATCGCCCATGAAGAGATAGTTTGTATCAGGAGTACTTCCACCTATCCGGAAGAGCTCGATGAGATCGTAAAATTGACCATGAATATCACCGCAAACCGTAACGGGACACTTTACCGGTTGAACATTGTATTCCTCTACAAGTATAGCCCTAGCTTGATCGCAAAGGGTTTTCACCTCCGATTCCGTCAACGCCTTGCACTCCATCAACTGCTCTATCTGCCTATCTACATCCGCGTGCGACGGCATTTTCGCCTTTATTTCCCGATCAAATATCCAACGATCGAAGATCGGAATACAAAAACTTCAAAATTGTAAACAAAAATCGATATTTAATAAAAAGCCTAACCAAAACCCGATTTGATTCAGCTTTTGAAAAAGGAGCTAGGGTTTGATTTTGATATCATTTTCAAAATATCGCAGATTCGTCTCCATCGACTTAGGAAACTCCGAAATTTGCAGAAGATATAAAGATTAGTTTTGTGTGTATAGGTTTGTATATATCAACATATGTATGTATATGCAGCGTGATGGAGAAGAAAGCTTAAAGAAACGAGGGGTGAGCCAAAAAATATACCAGGAAGGAAGAGTGAAATGAAACCGGATGAAACTGAAACTCAATCACAAGTCACCGATAATTTTCACTCAGGATTCATCATAGAGATGGTCACCACGTGTCGGCCTTTTTCAGAAAGTTTGCTAACATGCGCCCTACCGGCCTAGATACACAAGTTTTTTTTAAGCACACCATAACTCCTAAATACTAATAAAATATTAATAAAATGTTAACTTATAACTACCAATAGTGATTGTATGCGATTTTAGAACAAACAAAAAAATTGTTAAAAGTTAATGTTAAATAAAAAAATCTCTTTTAAGAAATTTGACTGGTAATGTAGTAATAATTGGTGGCAAGATATTTTTGATTCGTTGGGCAATGATCATAAAAAGGGAGGATTACTAAAATATAAGATTTGAAATTTTGCTAAAATATCAAAAAATTTAAAAAGGGATAAACATCAAAATATCAAACTGGGAGGTGGTGGAATACAAAATGACTACCTTTCATATAACTAATAACCAATCACATATGCACAAAATTTATTTTTCTAACAATATTTGCGAGCTTGTTGCGTATTATTTACAAAACAATAAATGAAACAATTCTAATAATAAGGAAATTGTTAGGTCATAAATTGTGGTTTTACTTTTTTTATAAGCTATTAGAGTTTTCGATTTAGGACCGAAAACACCACGTTTTGGTGTTGTTTGGACCGAAATCACATGTGATTTCGGTTAGACTTTATATTGTTTTGTTTGGGTTTGGTGTTTCGGCTTGGTTATTAGGTCTAGGTATAAATAGTGTTATTTAGGCCTTGTAAAGTGTGTGAGACGTTTTGGGGGTTGCCATAAGCCAAGAACGAGATCTAGAGAGAACAGAGAGAAAACAGTGTGTAATCGGAATCATGTGTACCGGAAGATTAATCAATATATCGTGTGCATTAAAGATTAATTATCTTGTTCTTATTCATCTTGTATCTTGCATTATACACTTTGATTGGGATTCCGCACCATCAAAGTGAATCCGATTGATACGTAGGAGAATTTGGGACTTACAATTGGTATCAGAACTTGGATCGGTATCAATCGATTTGGCAAGATATTAAGAGTTTCTTAGATTTACGCGTGTTTTTGAATTGTTTTGGATGAAATTTTGGCTGTTTGTTCTTAGTGTTCTTCATATTTTTGAGTTTTTGATTGATTTTAGCCTTAAAATTGGAAATTTTCGTGTTTTTGGCATTTTCTGCAAGGTCCTCAGTCAAATAGCTTCGGTTCTCGGCGGCTGCTTCGGATTTCGGCCCAACCGTATAGAATTTCGAAGGCTCAGCAACGTTTGCGGTCAAATTCGCACGATCTCGGTTCGAAGTCCTCGGTTCGCTGTTCCTGGTCTACACGATCTCGGCCTCGCAGGTTTTCGGCCTCCGATTTCGGTCAGACAAGATTTCGGTCTCATGTGCGAGACTTCTCAGTTGGGTTAAGAGGCTTTGCAGATTTCTGTCCAAAATCTCATTTTCGGTCCAAAAGTTACGTTTTTGGTCCAAAACATTCGTTTTCGATCTAGAAAATTTTGTTTTCAGGCAAGGTTATTTTTTGGACAAAAAGTTTGATTTTTAAGTTTGACTTTCACATTTGACTGTTGACTTTAAAGTTTGACCTTTGACTTTCAAGTTTTCACGTTTGACCTTCAAGTTTGAATTTCGATGTTTCAAGTTAAAGGGCAATTTTTTCTTGGTTTCACAATCATTGTATGGATTAAAACAATCCCCAAGAGCGTGGTTTGGTAAAATTGCTGAGTTTTTAGAGCACAATGGTTTTATGATGACAGCTGCTGATGCAAGTTTGTTTGTAAGAGATGAAGAAGGTAAGGTTGCAATCATGTTGGTTTATGTAGATGATCTTATAATCACGGGTGATTTGTATGAAGTGGTTGATCAAGTGAGAAAGAATCTATGTACTCGGTTTCACATGAAAGACCTTGGTGATTTGAAACATTTTCTGGGCCTAAAGCTGAAGTATGAAGAGAATGGAGACATCGTTCTACACCAACATAAGTATTATGTGGATCTCTTGAGTAGATTTGGAATGATTGATAGTAAGCCAGCAATGACACCAATTGACACAAACTCAAAACTTTGTGTTGATACCAGCAGAGAGTTAGAAGACACAACTATGTACAGGAAGATTGTGGGAAGCCTCATTTATCTTACTTTGACACGGCTTGACATAGCTTTTGTTGTAGGGGTTTTGAGTCGGTCCATGCAAAACCCTAGGAGATCTCATCTTGCTGCCATACGTCGAGTTCTAAGGTATGTGAAAGCAACACTTGATCAAGGGATTGTGTTTAAGAGGGAGTTAATGTGCAAGCTGGTTGGTTTCTGCGATGCTGACTATGCAGGTGACTTAAACACACGACGCTATACAACAGGATATGTGTTCATGTTGGGGTCTAGTACAATCTCATGGTACAGTAAACAGCAGCCCACAATGTCTTTATCCATAACCGAAGCAGAGTATAGAGCTGCTGCAATGGCAGCCCAAGAAAGTGTTTGGTTGGTTCAACTTCTAAAAGATCTACATCAATAGGAAGGTCACAAGATTAAGCTTTATTGTGACAATCTCTCATCAATACAGCTGGCTAAGAACCCAACGTTTCATGCAAGAACCAAACACATGGAGGTTCATTATCACTTCATCCATGAGAAAGTTTTAAATGGAGACATAGACCTTCAATACATAAAAACTTTAGACCAAGTTGCAGATTCATTCACTAAGGGCCTCTCAAGCAAGAAATTGACCAACTTCTGTGAGACAATGGGAATGGTGAATGTTGGTGTTGAGAGGGAGTATTAAAATCCAACACCTAAGACCACGTGCATGACTTGTTGTGCATGTGTCTAGCTATCTATTAATATATGTTTAGTTTGCTTTATTTATTTTCCCAGAAAAGTTATTTTTAACTTTGTCATTTTAGGTATTGGGTTGTCCTTAACTTTAGGCTCTTATGTTAGTGGAGCAGTTTTTCAGTTTCTGTCATTTTCCTTTCTCGTGTAAGCCTTCTTAGGCATCTAGCTTTATCAGTTTTTCTTTAATAAAGTAGCATAACTTTTGTGTAAAGTTGTTGTGTTGTCTAATTTTCTGCAAATACTTCACTTAGAGTTAACAGCCAGCCCCTGGTAACAAATTCAGTTAAGACTGAACAATCTGGCCCCACTAGAAGTGTTGAGGTGAACGATTCTGATACTTCTACCTTAAGTGCAGAGCATGTCACAATGCATGATGGACATGAGTAGAACACAAATAATTCTTGTTCTGCTAATAATGATTCAAAAGCTCGTGATGAGGTGAACGATTCTAATGTCTCTACTTCATGTGCAGATAAAGAAGCAGTGTAAGATGGGAGTAAGCAGATCAAAATCAATTATGAGTCTGCTGAAAGTGATTCAAAAGCTTGTGATGATGACACTTCCACTGTTGAAAAATCCCAGCCATAAAAATTTGTCAAGCAGTCTAACAAATGTTACTGTGCTTGTGATTATGGAAGTTCTTCGAAACGAACTTCTGTTAGACAAGGACCAAGTCACAATCTGATTTATATGAAAAGACAGACTTGCTTTAACTGTGGGACTCCCGATCACATTTCCAGAAATTGCCCACATCGTGTATATGTTCCTTACTATGCACAAGGTTGGTAGAATGTGCCAAGAGGGAGATCTTACAAAAGAAACCCTTCGAGGTCACGTTCAAACAATGGTGACTAGAATATGAAAAAGATCAAGAATCAAACTCCTAAGGTCAAGAAGGGTATGTCTGACAAGAAGCCAAATTCAAGAGATGGCTCTGTTAGACAAAGATCGTTTAGGTCGAAGTCATCTCGGCGGTCGGTTTCAAGTTCTAAAGCAAGTGCTGAGGCATCCATCCGATCAAATCAGAAATGGGTTAAACCCGACTACATATGGGTACCAAAGGTTCACACTCCCAAATCATCTAATGATTCTAACATTTCTTCATCTTTTGTGTCTGATAAACAAGATATGTCATGGGAGAAAGTAACTTGTGCAGATGATAATGGTCAACTCAGCTTCAAAATGGACTGGGATAATTCTGTGACAACCCTACATTTTTCCAAAAGCAGTGTAACGCTCAAAAGTCAGATACAACGAAATTAACCTAAAAAATAAAAGCGTTTAAATATCTAAGTTGGGATGCATCAAATAATAGATATCGTGCCAAGGTTTCTAAAAACATAAAGAACGTTCCAAACCGGGTTATATTGAAGAAATTATAACCACGCGTATATTTACGACACACCGTTAAAACGTTATTTAACGTAAAAAGTGAAATCTCAATAAAATGCATTTTTGCCTTAAGTATCTAAACAAAAGTCGTAGATTTCGTTAAATGGTAAGCGTGCCTAAAAAGATCGCCCAAATTGGACCTCGTATGAAGAAGTTACGAATTTCCTAAGTTACGTAACAGTAGTAGAGGGCTAAAAACTCAAATTGAAGATTGAGTGTTATTTAGCTATCGCCACCTAAACGGAAGTTGAAGATCTCCACAATAGTAATAAAATGATAAAAAGACAAACGAAAACCGACGTCGAATAAAGAAACTATGAATTTTTAACGGACTTTAGTAGTCCCGGCCTATTAACAATATATCATTAAAAATAAATTCAAAACTAGCCAACGGAGCCTAAATGAAAGTTGTAGAGCATAATCTCACCTACGCGTGGATATAAAGAACACGAAAAACGGAGCCCGTACGCGAAAGTTACGGAATTTAGAAGATGAAAGACTGGATTACGCCCCGCGTAATCCAAGAGTACGCCCCGCGTACTAGGCCCAGTGTCAAGTCCCATCGGCTCGAGTGCTCTACGCTAGCTAGACCGGAGTCGTAAGCCATGACGCATTTTTACGCCCCGCGTAACCGAAGTACGCCCCGCGTACAGAGTACACCCAACGTACTCCGGTAGTACGCCCCGCGTACGAGGATCCTCCAGCCTATAAATAGAGAGGTTGAGCTTCGAGTTTTTGCACACAACTCTCATATCCTCTCTCACTTTTACACACCCTAGAGCTCCAGAGACCATCCCGACACCTCAATTCCCGTACCCGAGCCCCCGACGAAAGATCTACGCTACCGAGA